CTTCCTGTCTGTCAAGGATATTAACCTCCGATACCTGGGAGGTTTCGGTAATTTCGAACATATGAACTCACATTACAGAGCCACATTAATCTTCTTCTGGCCACCTTTCAAAGGACGGGTGGCTCTCCCCTTGCGTAATTCACATCAACACTCAAATATACCCAAACCGAGATAGAGAGAGAGAGAGAGAGAGAGAGAGAGAGGAGAGAGAGAGAGAGAGAGAGAGAGAGAGAGAGAGAGAGAGAGAGAGAGAGAGAGAGAGAGAGAGAGAGATGTACATCTACGTGGGAGCCTTCATTTGCTTCCTGTCATCATTTCTCTTTTGCAAACAATGAGACTCAGAATTCCTTTTTCAGGTTTCATTTTTGTATCTGAAGAATTCCTTTTTCAGGTTTCATTTTTGTATCTGAAGAATTCCTTTTTCAGGTTTCATTTTTGTATCTGAAGGAAAATAGATTATATTTGCATAACAAATTTGCTTCGAAATATGACAGAAAATTTTACAATGTTTTCAGATTTTATAATATAATGCTTTCAGCACTCAATTTGGAACTTTAGTATATATTTATTCATTCTACTACAGAACACATTTGACATATCTAAATTTGTTGTATATATCATGCATATCATCCGAAACAATTTTGGACAATGGACGGTGAAACTGCTGCCCTTTCTAAGAGCTCGACAAAAACTCCATATTCAAAGAGTTTTCCAAAAAGAAATCAACTGAAAAAAATTGAACTTGGAACTCGCCTTCCACTTAGATTTTGAATAGGAGTTCGTGCAAAAACAGCTAAAATCAATTTTTAGAATTTGCTGAATGTATCTTGTCTCACTGCTTACGCCACTGTCGCAACAGCTGCAAGGAGAGTTAATGTACATATTGGACCCAGTCTTATTATGTGATAAAACTGTCAAGAAAATGTCATCTCTCAAAAGATGTAAGTATTAACGATTTTTTTACCGTGACATAAATCAGAATCTTAGTTATTATAGATATCACTAAATGCTTGCTTAAATAGATAGGCTATTGGGACGAACCAACTTTTAAGTAAAATAAAACGACTGTACATGATTTTTTTCAAAGAAATTTATTACTAAATCCTAAATTCCTGTTTTAGATTATCGATCTTTATGAATATGAAATCTACGCTTCACTGTCGTCGATTCCATTCGAACTGATTATAAATCTGAATTATAAATATGAATGACAAATACACTTAATTTTGAATTTCACTTTTGCATAATCTTCCCATGAATGAATGATTCGTTTCGCCCAGTAATTCATAACTAAAATTCAACCAAACACAATCATGAAAAAACTACATGAAGCATTTCTACATACATTCTTACAAAATAACAAAATAATTTCATAAATAAGCAATATTTCCCTTCGTATTGCTTCGTAAGGGGAGGTACAGAACGCCTGATTATAATACTGATGACAAATGGAATTAGCGTTGGAATTTCCCCTTGATATAGAAGAACGACTTTCCGTCTCGTAACTGATAACCAAAAGCTAATCAAGGTTTATCGTGTTTCTTACTTTGTTTACATTTAGGACTATAAAAAGCACCTTGTCAAAAGAAACGGTGCACCACCCAAGAGCTTTTGTTTTTAAATGGAACACTTTATAAACTATAAAATGAATATCAAAAAAATAATAAACATGCAAGTGAATTCTAATTCATATTCGTGACGTGCAGTCTCCAGATCACGTCTCCTGAAGTGCGACCCCAGTTCATGATCAGAATTTTAATCTATGCTGAGAACTAAATAAAAAACAACTTTATTCCAACACGTTCTTTTTTTAAATCATGTTATCGGCTGCATGCTGGACACTGAAGGAGACCGACAGAAAGCTCATTGAATCTTTCGAGCTGTGGTGCTTCAGAAGAGTACTTAGAATATCCTGGACTCCTAAGACCACCAACGAGGACGTGCTCACCAAATTCCAACGTGAAACACGGTTGCTCAACAGCATCCTCCAGAGGAAACTAAGCTTAGTAGGACACATCATAAGAGATGAAGAAAATCTGGACAGAACCCTACTGCTGGGCACGGTCTACGGACCGCGAGGAAGAGGCCGACCGAAAACCCTTTACAGTGATGAAATTGTAAAGGTGTGTGGCAGTATGCAAGGGGCAAGTCAACTGGCAAAAGATCGGAGTGGTTGGAGGAGGCTCGTGAAGGGGGCCACGGCGGATCGATTTCGACCCAACCGTACTTGATGATGATCGGCTGCATGTTTCTTCCAATGATAGGTGAGGTGTAATACTTCCATAGATAACGTTTTTGAATGAAAAAAATGTTAGACGATTCTGCAGTTGTCGAGCAAGTGTTTTGGATTATATTTTTTAATTTACCCTAGTCAAGTGTGTAAGTTATTGCCATAGAAACTAATGTCCAAAATTTCTATTTGTAGAAAACAAGTAGAAAACAAACAGAAAAAGGGAGGAAGTGACAAATTCACTCCTATCTTTTGAAAACTGTGTAATGT